TTTTGTTGACCTTTTATTTGAATTTTGAGATATCTATAGAGCTCTCTAATATTGTGCCTGGAAAGGTTTTTTGATGCAGTAGGTTTTCAATGTGGGCAGGGTATTTCATTGAGTGAGAACGATCAAAACGGAAAGGCACATAATCAGCGAAAATAGAATACAATTCTCTGCAAAAACGATAGTGAAGGCTATCAACTGTTGTATCGTTCAAAATATACAACCAATCGATGTTCAGGGGAGCTCTATTGATCTCAACAAAAGAAGCCTTGACAAAATCGGGGTAGGGAATGAAAATGCTTTTGTTGTAGTCGAATTCAGTCTCAGAGCTAATGATACTATAAGAAGCTCCAAAAGGAGGCATGACTTTGACAATTTGAATCTCAGCGCCAGATGAGAAGATCAGATCAATGGCTGTCCTCGCTCTTGTGGGAAAGTTGACATACTGCGATAGTCCGCTATCAAGAAGAAAAGAATAAAGATGAGACTCGCGTGAAACAGAAGGTGAAAGAGCATCAGTGTTAAAATCTCCAGAGTAATAGTGCTGAAAGGAGCAGAAAAAAGTCATATTTGACGTTTGCCAATTCAGAGTCATCATGTGAAGTGGAGGATGGCGGACGGTAAACTACTACTAGCCTTATAGGCGAGCATGAAGTAAACGACCAGATAAGCACATCGGATACCAACCCACAAGTGAGGCGGAATGTTTCAACCGCATATTCTTCCTCAGCATTTACACAGACCCCACACCTCTGCAGCGAGCTCTGTCCATACGAAACAGGGAATAAGGCAAATCGGAATTGATTTCGGAATCGATAATTTCTGAGTGCAGCTAGGTCTCGGTGATGCACAAAAAGTCGGGTCGATAAAAAGACAAAAAGGCCTGGAAAAGGTTAATTTTGTTTACCAAGCTACGACTATTAAAGAAAACGGAGAAATTCACGTTCGGGAGGACAGGCAGGCAAACCGGGCGGGCTTAGAGGTTTCCCGAATTGCTTCGCTTGGGAAATGTTTGAGAAGTTGCAATGTCGTAGCCGATACGCGTTGGAAAAAGCTTGAATCCAATGGGAACGCGACGGAAAAATCTATCTTAACTAGTCTGGGCCTTACCCCCATCAAATTTCCCCATCCTATACATCTCCGAGGGCCAATCGTCGACATTCAACACATCCAAAACCTCTGCCACCCCTTTCTCAAGCCCGATTTTCCTTTCTAGAACAGGCTTGTTCGGATCCTCCTCCGGCAAACCTGCCAAAACAAAACTTCTGCGACGTTTCTCAATCTCCACACCGGGAGGAATTTTTTCCTGAGAGCAAGTACCATTTTCGGGGTCGGTGTTTCTTTTGAGGATTGACAGAATGATTTCCTCTGCCGACAATTCACCAAAATCCCCATCGTGTTGCGTATTGCTGCCGATAAAAACAGGTGCAGACTGAGATAGACTACGAGAATCCTTTTTTCTGGAAGCCTGAGAAGAGGTCGGTTGGGTACTTGTTTTCAGCGAGGCTGGCATCGTTATCGACCAAACGAGAACACGCGAAACTAAATCAGAGAAAAGACGGGATAATGAAAAAGGGAAAGGGGCTTAAGAGATGACTAAGGCGAACCTCTAACACAAAAAAACCGAATTTTACGCCGGAAATTAACGAAAAAATCGAGAATAATGACGAGCGAAAGAGCGAGCGATCGATTTGTGAATTCTTCCTTCTTTTAATTAATTTATGAATTTTAATAATTTTGGTAATCTATGACGCACTGAATTTAGAATGCAAACCTGTAAAAGTTTCTCGAGTGGGTAATTGTGCGACCAATAGCCCATGCCCTATGAAGGTTGGATTACCTGCGAGAAGTCACTGGAGCTGGGTCTTGTCTCAAACCTAATTGCTCCGAGATTCCCCTAATTTAAAAGGGCTATATTAGAAGAATACTGGCGGCTCAAAAACGGGAGCCTAAGTGTGCGGAAGCAGGCAAATCGTACTAGCCTGAGTCTTACGATGACCGATACATGGCTAAAAAAAGGTGAGCTGGTTCTGGCTAGCTTGCTTTCGCTCATCAACACATCCTTTTCTCGAAATTATCAAACTCCCGTTATCAGCTAACTACAGCGTTCCAGGAAAACTGAATGTCGGGCAAGGCAATTCCCTCTTATGCTTTTTCTCACTCGGGAAGCATCTCAAAATCTCAAAATGCATTCCTATTCCAACTTCTCGTTTTTCTAAAGGTCGCATGCATTAACATCCCCGCCGGAGAGGGGATCGCAGCTTGAAAGAAAACTTCATATCCTAAAGCTCATAAGACCTGGCTTTTACGTCTTGTAAATTTCCCTACTATTTTTCACTATAAACATAGTGGAAAGGGGCAAGAAGTTGTCAAGCTGCATTTTCCGTCTTTTTATATGGTCGCTGATAGTCCTCAGCTGCGATAGTCTTTTTTTTCAAAGTCATTTTTATTTTTTAACGTTAGGAAAACGTGCCAAAACTTCACCGATCATCTAACCTAACAGTTCTGAGCGTGTTGCTGATAAGAGCAAATGACATGTCGAAGTCATGAAAATCGAGATGAACCACAAGCCGAAAGTTAGGATTTATCGAAAAATTTGATGTTTCAATAATTCACATGTTCTTGTCATCAACAGGCTTAGCACAGTTAGGTTAGATAATTGGTGGAGCTTTGGCTCGTTTTCATTAACTGTGAAAAAAGAAAAACAACTTTGAAAATTGGCCGCTGGGTATCATCATGGATTATATGAATAGCTGGCACGCACAGAATCTGCTACTGTTCATTATAGTAGCGAAGGATAGTAGGGATATCTACAGAGAAGTAGACAACGTAAAATCCAGATATCCTGAGCTTTAGGATATGAAGCTTGACTTTTGTAGTGCACATTGATTGGAATGTTATAGAAAGGTTCAAATCATTACGATCGGAACACCATTAGTAGCTAGAGCGCAGGCAGGAAGGAGATCTAAGTGATCAGATTCATAATTAATGTTATGAGGTCGAAAGACGCATGCGTAATTTGATAAATGAGAGGGGTTGATGGAAGTCAATCGCTACTACTTCGCGGCTATGGTGACGGTTTATTTCATTTTTTACATGAACAATTTAAGATTAAACTAAAGCGCAAACTCTACCGCCCCTTCTACGCAATCAGTCACATCGAAAGATAATATTGGCAAATCAGACACCAATTTCTGTTATTAATTTAGATGATAACCAGGTTTCGGTACCCCGATGCCAGGAGTTGAACAAAAAGCATAAAAGGAAATTGCCTTCAGGCGGGGTTATTAGTCTCACGATTACCCACTCGAGAAACTTTTACAGGCTTGCATTCTATATACAAAGCGTCAAAAATTACAGGAAACTTTTGTTCGGTATCATTTTGGCGTCCTGATGTTAGCGGAGCTGCCTGGCCATTCCCTCCGACGAGCTCAAGTAAATTCTACCGCGTAGCTCTAGAGTTTGCAATCCTTGGTGGATGCTCAAACACAGCTTTTTAGAGAAGTGGCGCCTAGAACAAGACGGTTTTTTAAATGGTGTTCTTACATTGCGATTTTGAGTTATGGCCAAAATACTGCAAAGACCGCCAGCCACCTCCATACCGCTAGCTACCTCCAAAAAATTTAAAGCTCACACGATGATGTGTAGGCTTTAAACTAGTCACAGTTTGCTTTTGAGCTGTACTTTTGTGACAAAAATGCGGTATGTATAAGGATATTTTTTCTGTAGAGCAACCCTTCACAGGTTTTTTTTCCTTTTTGCATCTTCATGGGAGATAAAACCTGCCATAATAACGTATGGTTAGTGATACTTGTGAAGGAGTACGATCGCTTGGTTTTTATGAACTTTTAGGTTCAGATATCCTGAGCAAGCTCACCAAATCTAAAACGGACAGAGACATTCTTATCAAATTTTATGACCTTTTCCTACCAGCTAAACAAAAATTGTGTTGATTGAAAGTCATTTTCCAGAAGGCCTGATGCATACCTCAAGTGATTTCAGTTCTACACTTTCGGCACGCAAGGCACTGTTTGTAGTTGATCGTACCCCTCTGTTTGAGCAAGTCCTGATCCGTTTGCAAGAATTTACAAAAGCTACGCGGCATTTAAAAACCATCCACGACGATTTTGTGGAATCGGCAGAACGTCAAGTCGTGTGGACGTCGCATGGTCAAATCTGAATTTTGTTAAAAGACTACAAAATAGCGAAATTTCTTGATGCACTTCTTCTCCAATCGTAGCTCCAAATGAAAAAATAAACCAGATTTGTCCAGTTAAAAACATATGTCACGAAACACATGTCTGCGACTGTTTCGGTTTTTGTTGTTATGTTTTTAGTTTGATGAGGTTCCTGGAACAATCAAAACTCGAGTGGCCTTTGTCTTCCACTTATCGCTTCAACCTGTGCATCACCTAATTGAAAGCACTCAATCCCTCCAGCAACAAAATATCGTTTTATTTTTACTGAGTTTATGCTAGAAAATCCTGTAAAATGGAACGGTACGATTTTTTAAACATGATGATAACAAACTTGACCTCCTTATTATGGTGTAAACAATACGTTTAGTATACAATTGTATCCTTATATCACAACATGTATGCACGTTCGTACCGAATTCGAATGTCAATAATGCGCAGAACTATTCTTGTTGATGATAGGATGCTTCCAATGAGGTTTTCGCCACATAGTCAGAGCTGTACGTATCAAGCCACCAAATTACTCGCTTGTGCACTCACTACAGGCTGACAGCGAAAGTTAGAAAGTCCAGAAAGCGATTTTTCAAAAGTTTGACCATGTAAGGGTATAACCGGTGACAGAAAATCTTGACTACTTGAATTTGAGAGTAGGAGCGAAGCTATCTTCTTAAGAAAAAATCTTAGCTGAACTGTTATGTAAATTGTTATGAAGCTCTGAGTTTGCTTGTCAAAACGTTATGTAAGTTGTTTTGAAGCTCTGAGTTTGCTTGTCGAACGATTTTGTTGATAGCCAATCTAATATTTTAGGCTTTACAATAACACCGCTGAGTACATGTTTTTGAAATTCAAATTTGGACAGCATCCCAAATATTTTCAAGACTATCTCGCTGACATTCGCCAGATATTGAAATTTTCTTCGGTCGTGGAGCAGACGGGAGAAAAAAGCTTCAGAACTGTTTGGAAATCGTAAGCGATCTTTAAATCAGGTAATGTAGCGCATGGTCATTGTACAACATTACAGCTTCAATCGTAACTCTATGTGCATTCACATAAGAAGAACTGATTTTGTTCGATTAAACGCGTCAACTAACATGGAGAGTGCAGTGAAGGCTGCTGCGAGCATCGCACAACGACAGGTAGTTAAGTTATAGGTGAAGTGTTTTTAGCCAAGTATAATGCAATAATTTTCGAACGCATCGCAATTCGTGATTTTTGGAGACGACAAAGAGTTTATGCACGCCATGTCTCCATTATTACAACATGCTACCTCAAATCAGAAGGTGATTTTCAATTGCCTTTATCTCAATATGTTAGCCTGCAATCAGCAGTGCTTTGTTCCGTACTTGATTAGTAACGGAGTCTTATAATTAATTATCCTTGACTTTGGAGCGTTGGTAAGAAAAGACCTAAACAAAGACTTTCAGGAGAATTCTAGGACAAGTAACTAGAGATTCACAAAAATTGGGTCGTTTAAGTTTTTGCATTTTCATTCTCGTCCTTGTCTCTGGATGAGCGGTTGATCCGCTGCAGAAAGGCATCTATCAACTGCTCTGCTTTCGAAATGTACATTTCGATAGAAATTGATTCGATTTTGATCTATTTCAATGTTTTAGCCCCAAAGATAAATTTTTCAAAAAGACAAAAATATTCATTTTTATGCCTGCTCTTATAACCCACCCTCGAGTATAAAAAATGGATCTTGTACGTTAATATGAGATAAAAACTTGCTTAAAAACTGTTGTGCAGCCGCACAAGAAACCAATGCTCGAGAAGAATGAAGAAATATGTTGATCTGTTGTTTATGATAAGTGATATAGTTGTGTGCACTATATATAGGTATTCCTTAGTAAGTATAGTTCATTCTTAGTTCCTTGTCGTCAAGTAAAGAACTCGGTCTCCAATCGTCTTCCTACACACGCCATGGCAAACACATCAAAACCCCAAGAGCTACAGAGGATGTCCGCTGACCGAGACTCCTTGGGAACGGTCACGACCTTTACACAGAAGTGCTGGAAAAGAACAGTACTGTCGACAATACCATGTGTGCCTCACTGAACGAATCCCTACTGCCAAAAGAGCTTTACAAATGATAGGTTAAGTGAGCTTTTTGCGTAAAATAACATAAACCCCGAGCAGCGAACGCCCTGAAATCTGCCTTACAAAACATAATGAAGAACTTATTAGTACTCCTCAGAGCTCGTTTTACTAAATTATCATTTGTCCCTTTTTCTTGCAAACCATAAAAACCTTGCTTGTTTTGCTTCCAAAAACGATCACAGGCGCTGGTTACGCGACTTTTTTAAAGTGGTCGGCAAAGTTTTGAATAAAAAGTACGTGAGCAACATACATCGTTGACTAATTGAAAAAATTTTTATCAATTTGTTTGTCTTAAAAAAGCCCATAAACTTATAAAACGACTCTATACTCTAGCAAGCAATCGACCACTATTAGCATTTTTACCAATCGAGTTTGCGGCATTTGTTCTTTTCAAATTAAACTGTTGCCAAAAAACCCAAAATGATCTACTAGATTTCTAACAGCTTTATAATCAAGTTATTCTGTAATGAGATTCTTGAAAGAAGATCTACATGTAAGGTGGATTTGCTCTTTATACAGGAAATGCCCTTACAATTACGATGTAGAGCTATACATCAGCAACATCCAGTAAAGGTTCTTTAGCGTTTTTGGTAAACATTTTCTATTCCGTGCAATTTTCCCTCCTTCTTTCGGCAGCCATGTTTTTGGAGATAGAGTCATCGTTATTCATCCTTTAGCGGTGTCAAACTCGGGAACTTCAAAATCCGATGTTTCGAATCTGTAGGCGAATGCTTTCAAATGCTTCGTGAAAATAGTAAACGCTTCTAGAAGTTCTGAAAATCTGAAAAATTTTGGTGTTCGCTTATATCAGGATTTTACAGATTGAAGGGCTTTTGGAAAAGATGTGAATTGCTCTCTGTAAATTACTGAAACAGTTTGAGAAGAGTCAAAAAACATATTGTTGCACTTGTTTGCTCTAAGTGACTTCCACGGTCAGAGACGCATGCCGCAATACTATAAGCATAAGGGTCCCGCAACGACTCTGCGTCTTCGCCATGACGGGGTTCGCGTTCACTCGTCCGTGGGGTGGGCGGGATCGGAAAGGAGAGGAGATGAGCGCTGCTTTCGCTTTGAAATTTCGGGGGTTAGAAGTGGCAGAGAAAGATCGAACTTTGGCCCATAGGTTCCATTATGGGGGCTCCTACCCTGTGACCTTGTTTTGCCACGGGTCTCATCCCGCCGATCCACTGCCTTTAAAGAGCATAACGTTTGACGCATGCTCCTCAGCCTTATCGAAATTGCAGAATCTTGTCATTTTTAGCTTTTACCAGGGTGATATGTACATGTGAAGAAAGGGAAAAACGCTTTTTATCAATAAAGCAAGCAACAGCCATCATTGTCAATGTGTTGCGGCTCGGTGGGCTCTGCGCCCCTTCGCCTAGCGCTCAACTGCCTTGCGCCTCAGCTTCTGTCCCCAAAGGACTTCCGCCACTGCGGGTGCGCGCCAGCTCACAGTGGCGCGTTACGCCTACTCTATACACAAGACATAAACATACATAAATTTACTAAATCAATATACACGAAAAATAACGACATAAAATAAATATAAACGTACTTACCACGGGGAGAGTTAAGCTCTGCCCCGGGCTACCGATGGGGACTCTAACTTACTCACACTCACACACTAGCACACTCTCACTCTCTCCCGACTTCCAAGGGAGCTCACAGGCCGACCGCGCGGCCGCCAAGGCAGCAGCGACGGCACGGCAACACCGACTCCATGATGTTAACCAGCTACGTCGAACCAAGCTTCCAACGAGTCCTGCGCGACCAAGGCGCTTCGTGATGTTCCTCGTCCTGTAAATCTATCCTCGCGCGTCCATCCAAACAATCCATCGACGATCCATACAATCGCGCGAGGCCCGGGGACGTAGGCACGACGGCGATGTAGTGGAGACCCAACCAATCAATAATGAAAGCGGCACGACGAAAGTAATAAGATGATGAGACAAGAGAGAGGCCGCAATGGCGCGCGTACGCGCTATTTATAGCGGTGGCTAGAGGCGTGCCTACGTGGCGGTCCGGAAGCGAACAACGTAGCCGCCGTAAAGCGCGGCGAGCGTGCTCACGACCGGACTGCGCGGCAACACGGTGCTCCCGGCTACATGCTGTGAGGAGCGGTCGATCCCGGCCGCGACAATGTTTGTCTTGTTTGACGTTATGTTCTGCTCTAACTTTTATAAGAGATAGAGTAGCATTTGATGGAGTAGCATTTTTTACATTTTTTTCAACAGATAGAGTAGCATTTTTTACAGCGAGGCAAGCACACATGGCGTTTAGTTAACACGTTGACGACAACGCGCATTTTTAGTTGTCTGCCTTGTGGGACAATGCCTTCCACGAACAAGTCGAAAATTTCTAGCGAAAATCAAGCAGATCGTCTTCTAAACTATACATACACAAATTCTTGAAAGCAGTCAAGAAATTTCGAGGTATCCCCTAGAATTAAAGCGCAAAAGACCTCAGGAAATGGATGTACCCAATAATTGTTATCATTTCAACAAAATTTATGCCGTGACCCACCATGTGGATCACATTGTCCCATGTGGCAGCCATTGCATGACTCACCATGTGGGTCACGTTGTCGTCAATGTGTTAATAGGTGGAAGTGGAAGCGTCCCCACCCCTAAAACGATCGCAATCGTTTTGCTTGACATGAGCTCTACTAAAAAGCGTAAATCATGTACTGAGTTGTTTCAAGAGTTTTGTTCGTTTGAATCTGATTCACCATAACTCTTTTGAGTAATGATTTCTGCGAGTTATTATATGCAATGTACAAATCTTTGACAATTCTATGCATACTCCAAAATCATTGCAGCAAAGCGATAGAAATTCTAGAAAAACGCCAAACATCTTCTCTCAAAGACCTAGTTTGCAAAAACCATTGATTTTGAATATGATGTAACAGAAATGCTCCATTAATGCTCATTGAGTGATCAATAGTAAGCAGAGCAAATTGTTGCCACCATCGCAATTGCGAGGAGTGTGTCTAGCTAATCTAACCCCTAACTCACGTAACGTTTTTATGAAATTCTGTAAAAAAGTCCGGGGGACCTACTTATTTCGCTCTCTCTAAGGTAGCAAAAAATGACTTTTTTCGTAATTTTTGATTTTCTTCAACTAATAACTGAAAAAAATCTTCTGCTTCCTAACAAAAAATGTTGTGGGTGTAGTCAAGGCCCAGCACGAGGGTAACAATGGGCATCGTTGAAACAAATTCTCCCTTGCCACTATCGATTTTTACGATTTCCCAATTGATTCCGCCAGCTGCGTAGCTTGTTCGATTGGAGCGCGCAACCAAAATGTTACTGTATAGTAAACTTAGGTGCAGAGCAGATTTTTGTAAAAACTTGGGATACTTGCTTCAACAAAAATACTAAATAACTTACTTTTTGATAGAAGCCTGGTCAGTCTACACTACGCAAATCCTAAACAATCAACATCGAAAAATCTCTTGACCCCTCCCGATTAACTAAGAGGGATACAGCTGTTCTATAAAAAGTTTTGATTTTTAGAAAATAGCACGCGGCATAAAAGACTGGATCAACACAAGATTTGCTTAGTTCGAATAAATGAAAAAAACTCCGAAATTAGCCGTTTTAAATTTTATGCATATGCATAGTTTCAGATTTCTAAGGGCAAACACCAGATAATCTCTCTTCTCGATTCTTATATTGGTAGAGGCGAAACACCATATTGTCCTTCAACCTGCCCATCATATCCTTTTGTCAAACATGTTCGAATTTGTCTACTTCGCTTCTAGCTGAAACATGCTCTTTACGAATTTCAGAAATTGAGACAGGTCAGGTTTTGTGTTTAGGCAGTGCTTGTTTCTGAACTCACTGTTCCTGTGGATCTGTACGCTTCATCTCA